ACCATGCGTATTCGCCGTCTAGAGAAACATATTAAGCAGGCACGCTGATTTAGACTAATTTAATAGTATCTACGACGCTTTGCTCGAAAAACTGAATTTGTCTATACACAATAGAAGCCCTGGAGCTTTTAATATGGGTAGTGGGTTACAAGAGCTGAAAAAAAGACGTTTCTTAGTTGATTTTGTAATACTTTTAACTTTTTAAGATAACTCACAGAAAATGCGGCGACTCCTCATTCTATACTCATTGTTAACAAAAATAACTATTCAAGCCTGAAAACCATCCTGCGATCACAGTTCATCAGTGAAATCCTACTATAGAAAAATTCATGAACTAATAAAACAATTATCTAGGTTTTGTGCTAATTGCTTAACATTATATAAAAAGAAAGTCTGTTGTTAAACTTTTTCTCGCGCTGTGATCTTTTCTCAATATTTTTTTCTATTATCTAAAATTTATATTTCCTATATAACTGTCTAGATTAATTTTACAAATACAAATTATAATCGTTGGTTTTAATTACAAATAAAAACAGTTTTTATTTTTACAATGAAGTCTAAATGTGTTACATACTATTTCAAAAACAATCTCATCAATAGACATAGTCATATCAAATTTTAGACTTTGATTAAACGATGCAACGAATTAAAATGTTTTATTAAGCATATTCTTTTTTTTTCTTTAAACAATAATATTAGTATCTATTCTATAAAAGTCAATAAAACTATTTATCTATATGCTTTGATATACAATTCGTTATCATATAACTAACTAGTTGTGAATACTTCCAGATGTGTTTTATAGTAAATTATTCTCGAATGTAACAAAAAGAAAAACGATCATACTTGACTAGATGATCGTCTGGTTTATTATGTTCATCAAATTCAACTTGAATAGTATCCATTGGTGTTGAATACATCATACGTTTTGGTTGTACAGATGTTTGCTCTATGAGAAAAAGAAAAAAAGCAAATATTGATCTTAATTTTACATAATTAATTCTATTTACCACTAGGTGTAAGCATTATATTTGGAGCTGCACGATCCTTAAACATTAAAAAAAAAAGAATAATTTACAAAATTTCTTTTTTTGTTTTTACTCCTCCAGAATCTGTTGGTGCATCAACATGATGGACACCAATTAAAAATGAATAATCCATTATACGAAAACTTTCAAGTACCTAAAAGTATGATAAACATATTTTTTTTTGTTTGTTGACTTAAAATTAATATTTAATTTAACGAACTCGACAATCACGTTGAACAGTTTTTGCAAGAGCATTAAAAGTTTCTGTATCAAGTAATAAACCATCAGGATGTCGTTCCATAAAATCTAAATCTTTCCATGTTGGAGATTCTTTACGTCTTTCTTCACTATTAGCTCGTCGTTTATATGTTGAACCTTTGAGATCATATTTTTCATGCATATATAAATAAGATGGTATTAAATTATTCATTACAGTTATACGAATATTTTTGTTATCACCCTGCGAAAAACAAAAAGAACGAAACATTTTTTTGGTTAATGTTAAAATATAAAAATGGAAAAAAATAAATCAATTAGATTAAAAAGAGAGAAAAAACAAGAGCAAAGCAGAGCATACAAACATAATTCTAAGCTTCACCTTTACGAAGAGAATATTATCATTTGATTTATTTAATATATTGATGATTTAACTTTAAAAGTAGATATAAAAACTTCTTGCAACATTTATAAAAATAAAGTCATTTCTTTAATTAATCTATTATTTTCATAATACTTTATATATATATATAAGTAGATAAGTCAAAACACAAACAAGAAAAATATTAGAAGTAGATCAATTCAACTTGTTTCATTTATCAGTTTTAGTAACTTTTTTTTTGGTCAAACACACAAATACAAGAATTAATCAACAGATTACAAAGAAATCCTTATGAGTATGTGATCTCACTTACAATGCCAGTATGAGCATGTATTGGCATGAATCCTGTGACCTATGTAGATGTAAATATCGTTAGCTATTCTCTCAATTCATTTTTCTTTTAATACTCTCATGATAATTAATCCAATTATGTAGGCTACTAAAAACAAAAAGGATTTCGTTCATACCTGATAACAATAAAGACCAAAAAATTTTGGTAATAAAGTACGTGGATTTTGTGTAACATTCTAAAAAGAAAAAAAAGTCAATAATTATAATAAATAATGAATGAAAATACGAACCATATAATAACCGGGAAGGAGACATTTTAAAAACTCTGCCTCCTTTTTTTGTACTGTTTTTAATATGAACTCATCATCAGATGTTAAATAAAATAAACTTCCACTAGCACCCGGATTTTTTAATTCCCGTAAAGGTTTACATATAGAATACTAAACAAAAACAAAAAGATAGTTTATGAAATAAATTAACATAAATATTAAAAAAAAAAACTATTTACTAAAAATTCTTCTGGTCTTATATTAAATAATTCTCTAAAATGCCTAAATGCAACTGGAGCATATGAACGAATAGTGAAATCATTAAAACGATGTGCTGGTGTTGTTTTCGTTCCTTCTCTATTTAACAAAACACACAAAGAACTTTACTTTTTCAAAAAATAAACTAAAAATAAAATGTTCATTACTTTGGAAAATGTATTATTTCAACAGTAAGAAAATCTTGATACAGTACATCATGTGCAGCTTTGGCTTGAAGACCACCAACAGTATATTGTATACCTAATTGTAATGCTTCAACAAGTTGTGTTATTGGTAAACGTTTAAATGTAACATTGCCTTGTGTATCAATACGTAAATGTCCAAGTTTATGTTTTTTACCTGTTCAAAAGAAAAAGAGAGAAAGAAAGTGAAAATTTCTTTTCCATGAAATTAAATCTCTTACCAATATCAACACCATCAACATCGTCGTCTTCAGCAGGATCATCATTTGCCTTCAAAAAACAAAGAAAAATATTCTTATATTATAGAAAATATTGAAAAATACTTCAATGGATTGTGCTACAGAAGACATAATTGAGAAAAGAACATAAAAAAATTGTTCAAATCAAAACAAATTTCATTTATAAATATAATATCGACGCCATTATATCCTAGTACTATATATTTGTAATTGATCGAACAACCTGGTTTTGTCGTTTCTAAATGAGTAAAGAATTACATATAGGAACAATGAGAAAAAACAAACAACAATAAACAACAGAACAGGAAAAAATATATAAACGGCTGATAAAAAAGAAAGAATGAAAAAAAAAAAAAGAAAAACATACACAATTATAATTAACCAATCGATAGGAAGAGATAGAATACAGATTATGCATACTAGAGCCATCTTCTGGAGTAAAACGGCTTGAACCGTTTTGAAATTCTCAATAGAAGACCATCTTTTACATATTTAAAATTCTTAAATGTTAATTCAATATTTATTTCTTAAAGAAGACAGGTTCTATATAAAGTGCAAATACTCATTAATCCGCTAGTAACATTACAAATCAAAACTAAATCTCAAAGGGTTTATAAATAAATACACATATCTATCTATATATATATATATCAATAGTACATGGTATCTATTCTCTATTCAGGGGATAAACGATAGAGTATTAGCGTATTTGTAACATAAAAAGACTTAAAGCTGCACTATTATTGTCAAAAAAAAAAAAACTAATCATCAATACAGCCATTGATTCGTATATTGAATGGTAGCCGTATTCAAATAGACAGGAAGTATCAAAGGTATGTTCGATGAAGAGAAGAGACAAGTTATTTCGTAATTTTTCGCTTTTCAAGTGCATAACAACAACTGGCTTGTTTGCTAATGATGTGGGTAGAAATGTGATACGAAAATTGAAAAGCATACAATTATTATATAATGTATCACAGGTATCTTATATCGAAAAATTTTACAAGAGAAATTTTAAAAAAATGAAGACGAATAAGATGAAGGAAATTTCCAACAATAAAATATGCATTTTTGTTAGTTCCTTTTCATAATTTTTTTTTTATTGAGTGATATTAACATGTTAATGTGACATAAGACAGGAAATTAAATTCGATTACCTTTGAGAAATTTAACTTTCAGTATTGTTCTCATAAAATTGACACATTTTGAAGATGTTCAATAAAATTTATGATATATAATAAAAAAATGTATGCAGTATTATGCATAATTTTATCTTTTAAAATGTTTCAACTGAAAACTAGGCATAGATTAATATAAACTTACTAATCAAAATTTTAGCTTTACAGGAAACTAATTAATTAAAGGAAGTCGTCTACTAAATCCAGCGGATCGTTTTTTCAACGAAAGTCTTTTATTTCGGGAAGGAGTTTATTAGAAAAAGCTCGATACACGTAACTTGATCTTCTATCAATAAAGATAAGAAATCAATACATAATAAAAATAGTCATTTTGATTATTGTAATCAATATAGGAATGTAAGATTTATATACTTCACCAGTAAAAGTACAACAAGCCAAGCAAGTTTTAAATATTCAGAACTTTTCTTGTCTTTCAAATTATTTCTTCGATTAAGCACATGACTTACACATGAATTGAGAAATATTTTATCCGTAAGGCAAAAGTAAAAAAAAAAAAAAACAAAGTTCGTTTTTGTCTTATTTATTTATTTTTTCTTTCTAAAAAAAGAAAATGAAAAAAACGAATGATTGTTCTTATTTAACATCAAATTTGTACTTAAAAAAGAAACAATCGAAAAGATAAGATCATTCATTGAATGTTGTTTAATCATTACATAAAACAAATTGAGATAATTATATTTTTATCTATTTTTGTTTTATATGATATCGAATAAATTGAAATGATACTCAAATTTCATCTTTTGTTTGCTTCTATTCGATTTCATTCAAACATTTTCTTTTTATTAACATACAATGTGCTATTTACTGATCAATCTTTTGATCATATTTTCAATAAATTATTCTATTCATTGTTCCTATCATTATGTTGGTTGTTATACGCAAATATTTCATGATAGTTATTTCACAAGTTCATTTATGGAACCAACATTATGTTTTCGTTTATGTGATACACCCGTAATTTATTTACAAAGCTCAGTATGCCGTTGTTCAGGTGGTGGTCTTATGCATTATAAACGACAAAATGATGAACTTTGTAAAACATCATGTACAAAACCAGTTGATCGTGCAATTAAAACAGTTAATACATGTGGTGGTGCATTAACATATTCAGCTTATGTTCAAAATAAATATTTTATTCAACATGGACATTTATTTGATTATCAAATTCATTTTGCATCATGTGAATCATGGCTAAATTCTGATGTTTATGAAAAATCTGAAGTTCAATTAAATAATAATATTGGACGATCATCTTTAAATAAATTAGAAAAATGTGCAGCTGCATGTTTAGATACAAATGCAACAACGAAATCAATAGGTATATTATCTATTTATATGATATGTACTTTAGAAATAATATTTTGATTTTATTTAAATACAATCGAGATTAGTTTTCCTCATTTAGAAAATCGAACACTATCTAAGTTTCAATACTTTCTGTGAAATATGATCTATAACAAGTGTTGAAGTATAGATGTAGAAATTCGAATCTATTTCCTTGCAGACTATGACAGACAGTAGCTTGAGGTCATAACAGACATGTTAGCAATGTCTTTTGTCTTGACCATGAAAGTTTGTTGATATACAATCAACAATCATATATTAATAACATCTCGTTCTAATACACGAAGTACTTCTTTATTGCATTTCTAATGGATGAAATAAAATGACTATGAAGAAATATGTCTCAAAATAGATCGAATAAAGCAATCTTCTTGTGATTAGCAAAAGTAACTACATCGTGTTTCAGATTTTAATTCCATAGAGATTACGCTAATCGATTTTTCTCTTGATAATATCTACTTTGATTTATGCAATTACTTACGTATATTTGAGAGCACAAAACATTACTACAGACTTAGAATTAATTCTGTTTTGTTTCAAAATAATTTATCGTGTAGTATTTATTTTATTATAGATTGAATAATTCATTGTTGACTCATTAATAAGACGATGACAAGATACTTCCGTGTATGTCATTTTTCTATGAAATACTCTACATTTACGAGTAAAATCAGTTTTTTTCGAAAGAAAAAGCGGAAGCATTCACATAAAGAAAGTAACATTCAATGGACTCTTATTAATTTTTATAGGTCTAATTTTATCTTAATAGAGTTTGTGTACTTCATAAATCGAGATATATGTTGGTAGATCTCATAGATAGTTCTTATCTACGAAAAAAAGAACTTTGAAATTTTGAATTATTTTATGATTCATTTATCTCATGAATGTGACACTATCGGATTAATAAGACGCATTAATATGAATAAAAGGAATATGATCAAGATCATAGGAATTATTAATAATCGAAAAAAGTTTGAAAGAATTATATTAATTTAGCAAGAAGAGAACAGAATAAATTCATTTTTTTCGCCTAAGCACTGGCTTAATGATTTCTCATGGGAAAAGTCGGTCAATTCAATTATAGATATGAAATGTTTTTACTTCGAATCTCTTCATGAAATTCAGATAAAAGTAACTGAATGTAATTAGCTGTAGACATTACATTCAGATTTATAAAGACACATCAATCAACTTTTTTAGGAAAAAACCTTGTCAAATAATAAATCATTTTTTTGAAATAAATCTTACGTCATAAGATAGACTCAAGTAAAAGTAGAATAATTCAACAAAAATTTATGCTCATAGATATATCTTCTTCAATGATGATCATTTTAATGAGTTTAAAACAAAATGTTGTGCTTCTCCTAGGATAATCTTCAACATAGATTTTTGAGTTTAAAATTTGCACAAATAAAATCTTCTTTCGGAGTAATTTGCTGTTTAAGTATCAGATTTTTTAGTAAATTCTCCTCTTAGATATAAATATAAAAATAAACTTTTCTTTTTTGTTTTTGCACGACACAATTTTTAATATTGGTATCTGAGTACAAAGAATACTAAAAACAAACTGATGTTTACATAATGAATTAATCATATTGAAAACTTTATTTATGTACATTGTGAACTTAAAAGTGATCGAAGAGAGAGATTATGGAATTCTGTTACAATAGTCACTAAAATGGCCATCATTTTAGGAAAAAACCTTATATACATGAATTCGTATTTCAGTAGAACCTATCTAATGAATAAACATCTATTTCAAAAGTGATTTATCATTTGCCGAGGTTTTTTCCTAAAAA